GTCTCTTTCCAGCCATCTGCCATTGGATCAGGGGTGTCCCCCTCTACCATTGGGAAGTGGTTAAGGGCTTGTATTGCTCGAGCTTATGAGGTGAGAGGTAAGCCAGTGCCATGGGATAACGGCTCATTCAACTAGAAGTGCAGCCACAACGGCCGCATGGAACACTCAGGCACCAATTGGGGATATTTTCCGAGCTGCGACGTGGCTTTCCCCATCATCTTTTATTAAGCATTATAGATTGGATGCTTTTGCATCTGCTGAGGCATCATTTGGGCGTCGGGTGCTTCAGGGAGTTCATGCTCCCTCAGGTACCACGGACCAGTGAGTTCCCGCCCTAGGGACTTCCACTTTGGTATATCCCACTTCTGGGTCCTCCTGCACCATCAGCTGGAGAAGGAACCTCCTACCTGAACATTATTCTCAGCGTGGCGCAGGACGGTCCAGATCCCTCCCTTGTTTGTTATTTAGTTAGGTCCGTGTCCCTGAGGCTGTTAATGCTGCGTGCAGGGCCTGCTCTTCTTTTGTTTCTCTAGTTGGAGCTGCGCCTCGTCAGAATTGGAAGTCAGCAGGGGAAGCTGGAGGAGTGGCTTCAATTCTGACTCAGTCTCTTGGGCAAATAAGGATTGAACAACCCACTTCTGGACCATCCTGCACCACGCTGAGAAGAACATTCAGGTAGGAACAACGTTCCTTTCCTCAAAAAGTAATGATCATATTTCCTTATTTGCATAGCTGAAGTACAATGTACAGTAGATGAGCTGAAATGAAAATAATATTAAGAAATAACCTTTCATCCAATTGCTTTATCAAGTATCTTAACTATTGCATTCCATTGGCTTTCACTTAATCATATCCACATAATTATCATGTCATCCAGGTAGCTTTTTGATTAGCATGTCTTGAAGTACTGAATCAAATGCTTTGTTGAAGTTAAGGTATATTAGAATGTTCCAAAATCTGTTAACAAAGTTATCCAGTCAAAACATTGGATGACATTAGTCTGGCAAGATTTAATCAATCAGTTTGTTACAAAGCCAGATACAATAAAATACCTAATAAAATAAAACAGAATAAAAATAGTATTATTAATCAAGTTCCAAACTTAATTAATGGTACAACATACTGCACATATAGTAGCACCAGCTGGGAGACTTGGGACAATATTTTTGAGTCCATTTATAAACAAAGTAACATTAAGTACAAATCATATTCCTTACCTGAAAATTTCTCCTAAATCAGATAAATGAAAGTCTTCCTAGAATTCTTATATATTATAGGCTTAGTATTAGTAACACATGGCTTAGAGTTTCTATTGAGCCGTTACCATGGAGACATAATATAAGTTACATAACAGTACCCTTAAAATTTCCAAAAAGGGCTCTGAGGACAATGCATCCAGCCTGCCTAAAGTGAAGGCCTTACAAAATTTCAGAATCATAATAAATAGGGGAGAGAAGCAAAACCTTTTGGAAGAATATAATAAGTATTGGGGTGTGGCATATTATTTAAATTTTTGGGAGGTTAAATTTTTTGATTGAGGGCAGTTGTAACATTATCAAGCTTAATGAACATGGACATTCATAAAGAAGCTCAGTAAATCAATTTTTATCTAGAGATATTTTTAAGCTATGATGATTTAAATGGGACCAAATCTATTGGAAACATGATTAACGTTAGAAAAAAGATAACAGGAAGAAACAATTCTCTAGCATCCAATAAACCTGTCCCTAAATATAAAATAGCATTTTGGATACTTTTTGGAATCTCAGTATTGGTTTGAATAAACTTATTTTGAATAATTTCAAAAAAGTTAAGCTTTGCAAAAGGATAAATTTGAAAGTCATAAATACAGGAATACCTTGGTTTGGTAAGCCTTATCTTGGCTCACCTACTTAACCTCAAGTAAAATAAAAATAAATTTAAAAATCAGATACAAAATCAGAATATGGAGAGACTCCTACGGAAAAATGTATGGCAAAGCAATTCCTTCTTACAGTACAAACTATTATCTTAGCAGCTATAAAATCTGAAATTGCTGAAAACATATTTTGAGGTCCTTATTTAAAAATATAAAGCTGAACGCATCATTTCCATTACGGCTTATGTAGAAACTCCAAGTAGGCAACAAACATATAACAAAAGGCAAGTTGTTAAAGTAAAACACAATGATGAAATTGCGCTTCAGACAAAATACCGTAGAATGATCTCTGTATCTCTCTGGAAAGTCTTAATATTGAACTCTGGGATTTCAAGAGAGTAATTATAGCCTCCCTAGAACAACATAGTGACTGTCAATGCAGAGAGTCCGGCAATAATTATTCTTGACAATATAGTGACGGCATTGTTTTCAAGATATGCTTAATCTTTTTATCATATGATGTAGAAACTACTACCCTGTGTGCACAATTATTAGCAAATGAATATTTTGACATATCATCATGTTTATATATATTTTCCACTTCCAAGCTGTATAAACTTAAATGCTTAGTGGATATAAGTATATCAGGTAATGTATATGTGTGTAATGAGGACCTAATTGTACAAATTATGTGATTAGTGGCCTAAGGAAATCAACACCCTATATCAAGGTATGCATAATTATTCGCCAGCTTCTTTTCTTCAGGCAAAATGGGCCAAAAAAGAGATTTAACTGACTCTGAAAAGTCAAAAATTCTAAAAGGCTTTTCAGAGGGATGCAGTACTCTGGAAATTGCTAAGATATTGGAGTGTGATCACAAAATCATCAAACATTTTGCTGTAAATAGTCAACAGGGCCACAAGAAACATGTTGAGAAAAAATGATGCACATTAACTGCCCAAGATTTGGAACAGGATGGTGGTCGTGCATCTCATTGCCTGCTTCGGGCAGGAAAATGGCAGCAGCAGGAGGAATGGAGTCACAGCCAAGCTGGAGGTTTCTCGGCATGAAAGGCGGGGGGCTAGAAGGCAGCGGCTCCTGGGCAAAGCTGGAGCCGGGGAACGGCGCATTCCCCAACCCAGTCAAGACAGGCGGCAGTTCTTGGGCCTTGGGGAATGGTACATCCCTGGGCCCCAGCCCCAACCCAAGGCAAAAGGCAAGCAGGCAGCATGCATTGCTTATCTTTGGTGAGCTGAGTAGGCGAGGTGACTGGTGAGGTAATTAGCTGGGCCGTGTTGCAAAGGCAACATATATAGGGCTGGGTGGAACGAGCGACTGGAAGTGGCGAGCTGCCGGAAGGAAGGGTGAGTAGCGACTGGGCGAGCATGAGTGGGACCAACNCTGTAAAAGTCTGTCTCCCCTTCCTTTTGATTGTGAGCCGCCCTGAGTCCCCCCAGGGAAAAGGGCGGCATACAAATAAATAAACAGAAACAGAATACCATTTTTATAGTCCACCACCACAGTGGAAGGAATTACTGGAATTTAGTAGTCTTACTCAACAGCTCCTAAATCTCAACCAATCTTTTCAATCTGTTGTTTTTATAATGTACTTGAGTTTACCGAAAAGGGGATTCAAATCTTGCTACATCTAATCCATAGCTTAAATTGTCTGCCATTGTTTAATTCTAGTTCATATGCCAAATATGAAGAGACATTTGAAGAGATTTTTAAAAACACTACTTTGTTTATTTCTTCTACAAAAGATAATAATTGAATTTTGTGTATTTATAAGATATATTTATTTATAAGAATATGGTCCTAATTCACTTTGAACATGTATTCCATGAACTAGTATAACAAAAACATAATTGCAATGTATATACATCCACAATTGTCATTGCATCTGTGTTTAGCAATTACACAGAATATGTAGTGAAATTTCACTGGGCTTTCATATTTTAGCATTATAAGCCAAATTCTGGAATACTGCGATCTAAATAGCTTTTATGGTTAATGACCTTAGCAGTAAGCCTGACTAGGTGGCTCAGTGGCTAAGAGACTGAGCTTGTCGATCAGAAGGGTTGGCAGTTCAAATCCCTAGTACAAGTCTCCTGCGTGAGCAGGGGGTTGGACCAGATGACTTCCAAGGTCCCCTCCAACTCTGTTACTGTTTACTGTTTTTGTCTTATTTTATTGAGGAATTTTTTGGTTTCTTCCATGTTAAACTATAACAATAAAATTCATTGACACAAACATTCAAAATTATAAATGTGTCATAACACAAAGGCAGTTTATTTGGAATACAATGATCAGGTATGATAAAAAGAAGTTTAAAAAAATTAATTGCAGCTTACTTTGACTTACAACCATAATTGAGCCCAAAATTCTGCTTGCTAAGCAAGATAGTTGTTAAATGAATTTTATCCCATTTTGTGATCTTTCTTGACACAGCTGCTAAGTGAATCACTGCAGTTGTTAAATTACTAACATGTTACTAATTTAAGTGAATCTGGCTTCCCCATTGATTTTGCTACTCAGAAGGTCAAAAAGCTGATCATGTCATCCCAGGAAACTTCAACCATCATAAATATGTTCCAGTTACCAAGCATTCAAATTTTGATCATGTCATTATGGGGGTGCTGCAACAATCTTATGTATGAAAAATGGTCATAAGTTACTTTTTTTCAGTGCCATTATAACTTCAAATGGCCACTAAGTGAATGGTTGTAATTTGATAATTGCCTGTATGAAATTTTAATTATTGCTATTCCATAAGTTCTCTGTTAGTTTGATTAAAGTACAAAACTATCTCCAATACATAATGTAGGACAAAACCAAGCACTTTTTTCAAAAAATCTCAAATTGTAATCTGGGCATCTGGGTCTTCTTTATCTGAACAAACTGCCAAAAAAACCTGACAGATAACTATCTACATTTACATTAAGCAATATTTCTGTAACGATCTGTTCCTAATGCAGAAATATTTTTAATTTTTGTGAACTATTTTCCACAACCAGATAGGAATAATGATTTTTGTGTCACAAAGTTTGGAAATCACAGTGAAAGATAAAGCATTTATGTATGCTGCAAAGATGAAGTACTATTATATATAACAGTTTTGTTTTCTTTTTATTCCTTTCAGGTTGACTTTGAACAGCTTCAGGATAACTTATGTCAAATGGAAAAAAGATGCAAAGCATCATGGGATCATTTGAAGGCCATTGCAAAGCATGAAATGAAATCAACATTAAAGCAAAAAATGTCAGAGTTTCTTAAAGACTGTGCAGAAAGAATAATAATTTTAAAGATTGTCCACAGAAGAATAATCAACAGGTAGAGCATTATAAAGCACAGTGTGATTAATATATAAATATGTGATATACATTGTCATACATTCTAATACAAATAAAACTATTTATAGTTTTATTTTATAACTATTCATTCTAGTTATAATAATTACTTTCAACCAGTTTATATATATTTTAATAGTAATACATATACAATCTGTCATTATTCAATTAACCCATCTTTTATCTTATTGTTGCTCTTATTTTATTATATAAAAGTGTATTCACTAATATTCCCCTTTTCTCTTATTTCTATCTCTTTTTCTAACTTTTAATCATATCATCCTTTGTTTTAAAAAATTATTTCTATCCTACCTGACTTCTAATCATGTTACCTACCTACAAAAAAAAGAAGAGAAAGAGGAAAAGAGAAGCAAATCAAAACAACACCAAAAACAAAAAAATCATCTATCCCTCATCTCTTGCCCACTTCAATACTTTAATTGTTATGCTTTTTTTTCTTTTTGACATTATCTCCTATACTCCTCTCTAGGATCTTTTGCTCTTTTTACATCTACTTCTTAGCTGTTAGTCTGAATATTTTTCTGACTTCTACCCTCCTCCACTGCCTATTTTCCAGGATTTTTGCCCATGCTCCTATCTCCCTTTCATGTATCTCCAATTCTCTTTTCAACTCTCTAAATATGTTTTTCCTCTGGTTTAATTCGTCAGTCACTGTTATTTTCTTTGTTGTCTCTTTGTCTTCTTTTATTCTCTGGTACTTCATCTCAGTCTTTTCCTCCATTCCTACTATCACTTCTTTCTTTTCCTGGATGTCTTGGTCTTTGCTCATCATCCCTTGTATGGCATTTTCCATTTTGCCACAATCTCCTTAAAATCTTTCTCCATAATATCCTTTGTATTTTTGAAAAGTAATGCAATTTCCTTAAATGTTTCACCTGTTCTTCCTTATAAAACATGCTTTTTTTAAAAAATTCACTTTTGTTCAACCGTCCAAGAGTTATTTATTCAGTCCTTAGGTTGCCCTTCAAGAGGTACACTAATCACAGTTATTTATATCCCAAAGGTAAACAGTCAGTTCCATTTGAATAGTCCCAGAGCTTATTAGAAGTATTTCCCGGGTCTCTTTAATTAAGTATCTTGCTTAATTTAGTTTTTAAATCTCAAGTAGTCCTAGGGTAGTTGGGAATAATCCAATAAACATTTTCACTGTCCTCATATGTATTTCCAGGCTTGTAGTTTTTCCTTTTGTCAGCAGGTGGCACACTCAGCTTAAATTTCAGTATTACCCCTTGGCAATTGTCATTTTAGTTATAAATCAAGTATAAAAGCAGAATAGGTTTTATAGGTAAATAATTCCAGCATTTAAAATGCCTTCCCAGTACTGTGTATTGCCAATTTAAGAGTGCAATTTTCTATACATTTCAAAATTTTATTTTTTTCTCACCTACTTCGCTCCTGCACCAGTCTTAGTTGTTGTTCTTCAGTTGTCCCAGCTTCATGGCAGCCATTTTTAGGCTGTCTCTTTTCCTTGCCATGGCTGAGAGGGAAAAAAGAACCCCAAGTCAGACAGGAGAGCTCTGTCTCTCCTTGACCTCTCAGGGCGCCCCTCTTTGCTTCACCACCACTGCAGAGTGGCTTTGGCTCCTCTTGGAGCCACCCAGCCAGCAGGGTGAAGTCAATACAGGGAATGCGAACACCCATTTTCTGTGTCTGAAATCACGATGACGTCAACTAGAAGTCCCCATTTTCAGCTATCTTCCCATTCTTGAAGAGGCATCATGTGGAAGAAGGTGTGGAATTATTTTTCATAGAGTCCAAGAACAGGGCTGTGAACCAGCTAGTGGAAGCATTACAAAGAAATATCAAAATCAGAAGCAAGAAGGAATTTTCTAGCCAAAAAATGATTTGACATTGAAATATTCTGCCACTGGAGTTTTTCAGACAAATGCTGGATAGTCATTTTTCTGGGAGGAGGGCAAGAATTCCACTAAAAGAGCTTTCTACAATTAAATTCAATCTATTTCTCTGAATGAATTAGGGGGAAGACATTTGGGATCCAATTTTTATTTTGTTTGATTGTAAGGCCAAAGTCTCTTTCAAATCAAGCATGGCTCTTGATGCTTACATATTAATTGGCAACAATATAGCCGTAGTTCCCATTGCCTTTTTCTAGAATATTTTTAACCCACAAGAGGAATCCTGAAAAAAAGTATAACTGTGGAGTAAGTAGAACAACCAAAAGGTGTAATATTCAAATAGTACTTGACTTTAGGTTTTTTGGTTGGTTGATTAATAGCTAGGAAAGCAGCTCTGACTTAGATCTTCTATTCCCAAAATGCCAAATTTTGGTTTTCTGCATGAAAAGAATGATTGTTACATTCCGGCATTCTGTTACTAACTTGTTATGGTTGTCTAGGTTCCACTCCTTCTTGTTATTTATGGGCTATCCTCTTTATGCAATCCGTGAAATCAACATCAATAAATTCTGCAAGATTATTAGTGAATTTGCACTGGAGTATCGTACCACCAGGGAACGGGTTTTGCAACAGAAACAGAAGCGAGCCAACCACAGAGAAAGGAACAAAACCAGAGGGAAAATGATCACAGATGTAAGTTGAAAATAAATCACGTGCAATTATATATACAATTTATATATATATATATATATATATATATATATATATATATATATATATATATATATATATATATATATATATATATATATATATATATATATATATATATATATATATATATATATAAATAAATCTGGGGGCTAGCAACTAACCAACTCATCCGCTATTATTCTGATATTTCCAAAATTAACTGTAGTTAATTATAACTAGTGTTTTGTCAATCAAACTGAAATTAGATTTAAAATTCTGATTTAAGATAAATCATTTTGTTGCTGGAAATTGTTGCTAACTTGACCTCTTAAAAAAATAGCAGTAGTAAGGAGAATTTTAGGATCAGAATGTCAAAGAGATGTTAGAGTATAATGTCTAGCTTTTTGCACTTTTTCAAACAGAACAGCAATTAGAATTGACAAATCCATTCTCTCTCTTTTTTTCTATAGACTATTTTTTCATGTTACATTTGTTATGATACTTATGATTTACAACTGTGATGGGCAGGCATCATTATAATTGTAAGTTGAGGGCTACCTGTATCCATGTTCACCTTCATCCTTGTCTCTTGTCCAGAAAAGCATACCTCTGTTTGCATAAACAAATTATTATTCACAAATTATCATTGCCTACATGTAAGGCAGATGATTGATCTACATTCACTTATTATACTATATTGGAGAGCAACAATATGATTATGAATGTATTGTGGTGCAGAAAATAGCAGAAATTAAAATTACATTTCACGGATGTTGGTAAATGTATTTCAGACTAAGTACTTGCTAACATTTATACATTATACTCGACTTATGGCTACAATTTGGCCAGTATTTCTGTTGCTAAGCAAGGCATTAGTTAAGTGAATTGTGTTCAGACATTTTTCTAACCATCTAATCAGATTCTCTACCTTCTCAGAGCTGCATATATCTTTTTTTTTCAAGGTCTGACTCTCAAAGCACATTCACAGCATTGAGCCACCTAATTCAGAGCAAGCATGGTGGTTTGAAAACACTATGACAGAAAAAAGCAGAAACTGCAGACACAAAACATAAAAAGTGGAGCTATTTCCAAATGCTAATAAAGGTTTATAAAGGCCCATTGCATTTCAGGTTTTTTCCCCTTTTCAATAGCTCTATAACAACAGAAATAATGTGAAAAGGACATTAGAATGACTTGTAACATACATATAATAGTACTTCTAAACTTGGCTAATTTTCATTGTATATATTCAAATAATTCAAATAATAAGTCTAAAATAGAAAAGTTTCAAGTTATATTCAAGTAACACAACATTTACAAAAAGTATTCTTGTAAAACCTATACAGTGTTGTCCTAAAATTTACATGGGCCAAACTATTACAGTTGTCAAGACCAGAATTTGTAACCCAAGGTTGTGTGTTTACTTTAACACTTAAACTTAACATTTAAAACCACCAAACATATAAAAAACATTGAATTCCAAATCCGAACATTGTACTTCAGATTTGTGCTTTTGAATCATTTTATTATATATGTGTGAATATCACACTGCTTATACAAAAGAGCCCAAACTTGCATCATGACAGCATAGCATTGCTTTTCTGATTTCTTCCTTAGATCCTCTGGCATAGACTTCTGGTAGGATATTTTTAAATGATGTTGCTGGAATCAAAAGTGGAGATAAAAGCCCTGTTCATTAAAAATATATCCTAACTTTTGAGTAATCAATGCATTGTTTTCAACATACTTATAGATCAGTTTTTTAAGATATGCAATAAAATATTTCAAGATAACTATTTCCATATCCCTTAAAATAATCTATTGTTCTAAATCAATCTTTCATTTTTGAACCTTGATAATGAATTTGCTTTCCTCTCAATATAAGGCATTTTATTTGTTTAGCAAGATTTCTGAAAAGTAATCAGTAAATACAGTTTTAATAAATACCATCAACTAGTTTCTTCAGCAGTAATCGGGTGGGTTTCAACCAGTACGGCCATACCGGATGGTGAAATTTAGCATGCGTTCCCGTACCCGTTGTTCCGGAGGTCCCGTACTGGAACAGTCCCTCTCCTGGCCTGCCCCCCCCGGCTCGCTCCCCCCGTCCGCCCACTCAGTCGCCACTCGCACCATCTGTCAGCACCAGCACTGCTCGAGCCGTGGCCCACCTGTCTCCCCTTTGCACCTCTTGTAGCTGCCAGCTACTAAGGGAACTTGTGTAAGACAAGACAAGCAGGCTGGGGGAGGGGGGTGACCCTGCCCAGGAAAATGTAGAAGGTGCAGAATCAGCTCTGCCTGAAGGCGAGAAGGCTCGCAGTGCCCTGCTTGCCCACCAGCAGAAGCCTACCAGGAAGTTTTGGCTGGCGGGCACATGGAGGGAGCTCCAAGCCTTTTTGCCTTCAAGCAGAGCTGATTCCGCTCCTTTTACGTTGTCCTGGGCAGAATCACATGCCCGCCCGCTCACCTGTCTTGTCTTACACAAGTTGGTCTGGAGTGGGTGAGACCATCTTTGGGGAAGGGCCATTCCTTCTGCTCAGTTTACACACAGTTCCACGTCCACAGCTTATCTCTTCCTGGCCAAAAGGGCACCTTTTCTGTGTCAGTGGTGCTACTGGAAAAGAATGGCTGAAGTGGCTTCTCTCTCCTCCTCCTGCTAGCCGAAGGAAAAGCCTCAGCGAAATATTGATACAAAGTCAATTGCCTCACAGCGCAGCCGGTAATTACCCTGTCAAGTGTCTACAGCTGATTCAAGTGCCGATCGGAACAGAGATAGGCGCAGAAAATCGGTCTCAACACGGCAGGTCGGCTAATGTAGCAGCGGCTGGCTGGCTCCCCAACAGCTGTAATCTGCGCTAAAAGCCAAGCAATGACTTTCCGGTAGAACAGACTAGGTTACACATGAGCCAAACGGTACGTGTTGATTGCTCCCAGATGCCAGCCGCTCCTCATCTATCTATTTTGCTACACTTAGCAGAGAGCTAGATCATAACACCATACTGGCAATCTGGCCCCTCGTGGGGTGGCTATGTTACACAGTCCTCTCTACAGCCGCCTCAATCCTTTCAATTTAGTAAACCAATCAATTAATTTAAAATATCCAATACCTCGCTGGGGCTTTTCCTTTGGCTGGCAGGAGGAGGAGAGAGAAGCCGCTTTGGCCACTCACTTCCAGAAGCCCCGCCGGGACCAAAAAGGCGCCCTTTTGGCCAAGAAGAGATCAGGACAGATGTGGAACCACAGGGTCTTTTCAAGTACGTAAGCTGAGAAGATGGAACGGCGCTTCCCCAAACCCGATCAGTGCTACTCCCACCTCCCCAGTGTCCGAGCTGCAGCAAGTGAAAACAAACCTTCTTTGCCAGCCTCCCAGCTTGCAAAATAGAAATTATCGCCAACTGGAAGGTGTGTGTGTGTGTGTGTGTGTGTGTGTGTGTGAGAGAGAGAGAGAGAGAGAGAGAGAGAGAGAGAGAGGAGGGGGGGAGAGAGCGAGAAAGAAAGTAAGAGAGAAAGAAAGCAAGGAAAGAAAGAAAGAGCGGGAGAGAGAGAGAAGAAAGAAAGAGAAAGGAAAAAAGAAAGGAAAGAAAAAGAAAGAAAGAGAACTTATGATCACAATTGAGCCCAAAATTTTGTTGCTAAGCAAGAGCATTTTTAAATGAGTTTCACCATATTTTACAAGTTGATCACTCCCACCCGGTTACATGACTCCCAAGCCACATCCACAAAATAGGCCACACCTATAGAATAGGTTCTAAAAAAATTTAAAACCCATCACTGGCAGTAATGTATAGTTCATTTGAATCTGAAGGAGTAAATTCTTAAATGTGTAAATCTTCAGTTAAGAATGGTCTCATTCAGTCCAAACAGCTAAAAGGACTGCCATAATCTCTGATACTTGAAATCTGATTAATATTGAAGAACTTTCAGATTATGTTTACATTTCTTTATGTCTAGCTTCTCACAAAAGAACTATACTTTCTATATTCTCACTCATATACTGTATGTGTGCATAAATGTTCACCATATAGAGGTGTGTGCATGCGCGCACACACACACGACTAAAGTTAAGACAAATGACAGTTTAAACTTTATTGAGTGGTGTGAAAAATCCACACATCATTGTAATTTTAATTTCTTAGTCAAATGGAGCACAATTTGCAGACAGAAAACTTCAGAGAGAATTAATCTGCCATATTGCAAAGAAATAAATGCTGGTATTTTTGGAATTAGGCTGCCTCAAAATCTTAACATTTCTAAAAAGTAGTAGTTATGTAATTTTCCCCCCAATATATTTTAATGTTTATTTGCAGGCAGACTGTTCTATAAAAATCAATAGGCTAAGTGCCAGTATATGCAGAAATGTTTGTCCAAAGGAACATTTCTAATATATAGTGGTAAAAACAAAAACTCCAGTTCTCTTTTCTAAAATGTTTAACTAATAGTATCTATAAAATTAATAAGTAATCTTGAATTATAATTGGTAAGAAATATGTACAAATGAACAGATACTAGTTCCAAAGCCAGATTTGCACTCAGTAAAATGCCTAGACTATTATCTAGACTGCATCAACAGAGGGATAGTATCAAAATCACAGAATAGTACCTCTTTATAAAACACTGGTAAGACCACACTTGAAATACAACATAATTTAAAGTTGGATCTTATTGTCAATTTTAATTCCCTTATAGAAAGGAATTGTGGTGCAGTAGTGCTATGACTGTTCAAACATGTAATTCTTGTTTAGACTCTGCTGGCTGAAAACTTGTTCTGCAGGAAAAAAAATATTACTTGTTGCTATTCATTGTCACAGCTTTTTAAATTTTCCTTTTCCAGATCAACATTAGTGAAATTGAATTACTTTTTAGGCTACAGTAACAGGCTAACATGAATATATATCATTTGCTGCTTTCCTCTGAGCAAGGCATATATTGAATATTTATTCTCTGGTTATAAAAGCAGTACATATTTTACTATTTAAATAAATTAATATAATTTTGTAACACTTTTTAAAATCTTTCAACTAAAGTGAATGTAAACAATTTATAAACATTATTAAAAGTGGGGGGGAGTCTGTAGTGCTTCGCAGTTTCATCCTGTCCTTTGATTTTCAACGAAATACAGACTTCTTTCCATAAATCAGGCATAGAATTTACTTTAAAAATAGAATTTTTCTAATTTTCAGGTGTTTTCAGGTGTTTCAACTATGGCTCCCATGTGTATAGCCTGTCCTTGGTCAGTGCCAGACTTTTTATCTTTTTCTTTAAGGCCCATTTTTTGTGGTAGTGGATCTTTATCTTTAGGGAAATAATGCAGTTTGGATCCATATCTTTCTAGAACTCCTTGTGCTTTGGTATTGAATTTAATTTAAAATTTTGGTTTCTAAAGATAAAGATAATGCCTTCCACTTTATTCCAATGAAAGAGAATGTCATTTTGCTTTAAAAGATCTATCAGGAAGGAGTATTCTTTATCCCAAAGGTGCATTTCATGACCTGGATGACTCTACAGACTGAGTATTCTTTATATTTCCTTAGTGTTGTAATTTGGATTTCTATAAATATTTGCACTTCCTTCCCAAGGATCATAAATATCTCTTGGTAATATTTATGCATCTAGTTCTTTAGTAGATTTTCTTACAAATGGAATCATGATGTCTCTTGCCAACTGTCTTCTAGTTACATATGTTGAATTTATTTTGTTAATTATATTGTTAGTTTCCTTGGAGAAGTCTAATTTAAGAGATATAATTGTAACAGCAATTTCTAAATGGTTAAATCTGGTAATTTATATTCTATATTTAATGCTTTTATATATTCTGGTTTTTTATTATTCTTTTTCAATTTATAATTAGGCAGTTTATAAATCTAGTAAATAATACAAATAACAAAAACACTCAGAAAGACCAAGAAGTAATGGAGAGAAGTTGATCAAAAAGAAATCCAACCTAAAATTAAGAAGAAACTTCCTGACAGAACAATTAACCAGTGGAACACCTGGCCTGCAAAAATTGTTGGTGCTCCATCACTGGAGGTTGTCAAGAAGAGACTGGACAGCTATTTGGAATAATATAGGGCCTCCTGCTTAAATAGGAGATTGGACTGGAAGACCTCCAAGGTCCCTTCAAACTAAGCTATTCTATTATTCTCAGATGACTGTTGAAGTTTATGGAAACCCAAAATACTTTATAAATGTGACAACATTAATGTTTAATTAAAATCCTGAGTTTAGACTGGTAAATTCCTATTTTACGTTCATTTTCAATCAAAAACAATTTCTTGGTGATTTCAAGATAATTGTTTTACTCACAATTTAATTTACAGATTTGTTAAGAAATGCTTTGTTTGCAACTTTGAATTTCCAGAAAAAAGGTTTGACAGAATGCAGTGTGTTCCAGAAAAACTCAGAATGGCTGTTGGCCTCAATAATAATGAAGGATGAAGGAAAGTAAATAACAAGTAGAATGGAAGGGGGAAAATTATTGACCTTCAATTGACCTCCAGTATATTCTGTAGATACCTTTTTGGATATGTGGAATATGGTGGAGAATGTGATGATAAATTGCAGACAAAGTTCCAGTGTAATTTATTACTGAAACAACATCCCCACAATATAAAGTTGGGTGGGTGGGGGGTATTGTTCTGTGACATCATGAAAGATGCACATTCGTACTTGATTTTTATACTACATATTTTATTCTATAATACAGAAGCAGCATCGTAGTTACTTTTGATGCTGATATGTTGACATTATACCTTACCTAATGCTGCTTCCTATCCTTCTCCGTTCTATTCCTTGTTCCACTGGTAGACAGATGAAGAAGATGACATTGAGGTATGGTTCTGAGAAAGAGCATGTTCTATTCAAAACTGATTGCTGTGAGAACTACTGATAACAAAGGCAGTTCCATGGGAATGCTTCATTATCATGCTTTGTGGCTGAAATTCTTATATCTGCAGTTCTGTATTTTCATAACTAGGAATAAGTTCTTTTAAATTTGATGAGATTTATTTCTGAGTAGGAATTCATAGGATTGTACTAATAGACTACAATGTGCCTAATGCTTGATACAAGTAGTGCTTAACTTACAAACCATTCATTTAGTGATTATTCAAGTTACAATGGCACTGAATTATTTTTTTCACACATGTCCATTCCAACATTCCCATATTCACATCATCAAAATTTGGGCACTTGGCAACTGCTTCTTACTGTATATAATAGATAGAAATCTATTTATGACAGTTGCACTGACCCAGGATCAAGTCATCACCATTTTAACCTTCCCAGCTGGCTTCCAATAAGCAAAGTCAATAGGGAAAGCCAGATTCACTTAACAACCGCATGATTAACTAACAAACTGCAGTGATTAGCTTAACATCTATGGCACAAAGGTCATAAAATGGAACAAAATCATTTAACAACACTCTGAATGTAGTTGGTTATCTGAAAAAGCATGGCAAGTCTAAGCATTATAGATTTATGCCCAGTTGCCACAAAGATTTCTAATCCTGAATTTCACATTGCGATATAGAAATTGTGGCCATCAAATACTGGGTAGGCAGTCTGCATTTGGCCACTGCAATCTGTTCTGGTGACATGTTTGTTAAGAAACTAGATGGATCGCATGAATGAAAACTGCTGTGAAACTCACTGGTTGCCACCACATCATTTGGATAAAATTTTTATGTGTAGCAATGCCAGGGATATTCTTATTATTGGGTGCTGAAATTTGAGTGCAAGTGCATACTTAATCAGAATATGATTTATTACTATTTGTTCCCATTGTATTTGCAAACATTCAGTAACTAAGGTAGTTGCTAAACAAAGTCTGGTTATATTATTGGAAGAGGTTGTTATGGCAATTCCAGAAGGTAAACTGAAATAGAAAAACTGGTAATATCAAATACAGTTATCTTTTCCCTTCTTCATATCATGTTTGTCAAGAGACATGTGGCTAAAAGGGAAAGGGAATGCAACAAAATAAGCAATTTTATACAATTGAAACACAAACACCAGAAAAAAGAAATGGAGTGCCAAAATTTATTTTACTGGAGATTTTTAACATTGTGAGGGAATTCATCAGGTTGTACATCTTATCTTTGCATTATTTTGTGTTCCATCTTTGCTTTCTTTCACTCAGCTTCTGGGCAATATAAGTAATTCTAAAAGGTCTCTGCATCATGTGGAAATATATCATTTAATCATTTCCACTTGAGTAAGAACAGAAATGCCTTGTGATGACTGCTTTGGTAGCTCTGAATGAGTCATTTTTCTGGCCTTGTATTCTGCTGATTTAGGGTCTGAAAACTAAGGCAGACTTTTACAAAGGTAGCATTTTTTCTTAGATATGTTTCAGATTAGCAATTATTTCCATATCTTATAGGAATTTTTAATGTTTTAAATTTGCAATCAATATTGCAAATAACCTCTAAATAATGTTCACCATTACACTTTGCTTGAATCACTTTAAGTGGTTGTCCACCAAGAGTCCAAGATCCCTCTTGCATTTACTGCCAAGTTCCACCTAATCTGTAGCTGTATGTATGTTTAGTTTTTGTTGCCCAAGTGTAGAACCTTAACTTTTCTCTGCCCTGAATTTCATTTTGTTAGATAGGTTCCAGTGTTCCATCTGGATCTTAAACCTATCTGTTGGATATTCCTGCCAACTTGGTGTTGTCTGAAAATTTGATTAGTTTGCCTTCTATTCTCTCATATAAATCATTTAAGAAGATATTGAAGAGTACTGGGACTAAGAAGGAACCTTGGGGTACCCTACTGTTTACTTCCCTTTATGTAGTTGTAGTTCGATTAAGAACTACATATTGAGTGTAATTTGCCAGCCAGGTACAAATCCATTTGGTGGTAATGCTATCTATTCCACATTTTTTCCACTTACCAAGAAGAGGGTCTATTTTGTCAAATGCCTTACTGAAATCCATGTATATTATGTCTACAGCATTTCATTGATCCATTTATTTAGTCACTTTTTCAAAGAATGAAATAAGTTTTGTTAGGTTTTTGACAAACCATTGACTTCTAGTTATAACTTTGCTTGCTTCTAAGCAGGTCTGTTGCTTTTTGGGGGAGGGGGGCAGGATCTCCCCGGGTATTAATGTCAGGCTGATTGGTCTGTAGTTTCCTGAATTAGGGTTTTTCCTCCCTTTTTTTGAAGATGGGAACCACATCAGCTCTTTTCCAGTTTTCTGGTGTTCAGGATCTTTGAAAGATATGGTTCAATGGTTCTGAGATCACGTTTCCCAGCTCCTTCAGAACTCTGGGGTATAATCCATCAGATCCTGTGATTTAAACTCAATCAGAATAGAGCTGAAAAAAATCTTTGTCTTTTGATCCAATCCCCTGCTCAAGCAGGAGATCCTATACCATTTTAGACAGGTAGATGTCTAGTTTGTAGAGATTCTCAGTCATCCAGGTCATGGTTGTCCCAAAGGTGTTTTTTTCAGGAGATTTTTTTGCTGTTTCTTTTCAAGACTTTTTCCTTCTCATCCAAAGCTTCAGCTCTGACTGGATAGTGGAGAATGGAAGAATTTATATTCCAGACAGCTGGTAATTTGTATCCTTTTGGATGGAGGGTCATTGAAGCACTTGGAGGTTTATCTGTGCATTCTGGGTCACTGAGTAGTGCTCCCATAGTCATAGGCATTTGAGTCCTTCATGACTGACCCTGGGTATGCTTCCTATATCTCCTACTTTATATCTGAATTTTCCTTCCTTTCCGTCACTTCCTACCTCGTTGTTTCAAAAAAAAAAAATTCAACTTATAGGCTCCGAATGAAAAATTAGATAAAAGATTTAGGATTTAACACCAGTCATAACTCAACCTTTGAAATTTAATTTCGTTACTGACTTTACCTGTTAACTTTTTTTACACTAAATAGATGTTAAATCAATTTAGTTAGGCAAATAGAACTGTACAAGTTCATAAATTATAGACCTATTTTTACGGGGGGAAATTATTATTATTGGAGGGATAATATACACATGTGCATTTTATGCACCTTTTGTCTTGTTTAGTTTTTGCTTTGTTATTGTTTCCCTTTTTTTGTTGAAGTTTGTATTTGAAGAAATAAAACTTTAAAAATATATTTCTAGAAATTCAACATGAATAAAAACTACCAAGGATTGAGTTCTTTTTTTAATTGATCTAAAACTGAAGAATTAAATCTTAAAATGATTCGGTTTTTTCCCCTTTTTTCACAGTCTGGAAAATTCTCTAGTAGCTCTCCGACACCTCACAATCAATTGCAAGGGCTCCAGGATACCGAAGACGCTGTAGAACATGAGAACATGAAAGCTGTTCTCAAGATATCATCTCCAACTGGAGAGAACATTGCATTAGGAATCCGCACTCGATCTAGGGCCAATCAAGGTGAACAGTTTGGATTTATGTGAGGAGTTGTGATTCACTCTGTTTTTATTATTATACTTTGACACACAATCAGAGGCTTAGGCTGGATTTGGCAGTCCTCTCGACCTGTCAATTTCTTCCCAAGGACCTGAGATAGGCAGATGTGGCTGTTGGGTGGTGTCGAGGAGGAAGGGACGCTCTGTTATTAAAGTTGGTTTGCAAAGTTAGCCAGATGTGGAGACTGGCTTTTATTATATTTTTATTCCCTTCTTCCCAAACCCACTAAGATAGGCAGATGTGGCTGTTTGATGGTGTAACAGATATCGTCACAGGATATAAGCTATTCTGAGTAAAAGCTGCCTTTTTGCAGTTCACTGATGATAGTTTTGTCAACATCTATTGTGTTCAAATGATGTTCCAATTGTTTTGGGATTGCAACCAAAATGCCTATCTTAATATTAGTACAATCTTTGCTTTCTTTTCTCATAGTCATTCTATTTCTATTTGCAGGTCATTTTTTTCCAGTTCTTTCTATTCTTTTCTATGTCTCCAGGCACTGCCACATCCATTAAGCCGACTCTTTCTTATCAACAGTTGTTTAATCTGGCATGTTATGTGGCAGGTACCTATTGGCTTGAATTCTGAAATTCAAAGGACTTTAGTGTTTTCATTTTTTATTGCTATCTGTATTTTGTAGCCTCGACAGTTCTTGCTTGCAGACAATAGCAATAGCAATAGCAGTAGACTTATATACCGCTTCATAGGCCTTTCAGGCCTCTCTAAGCGGTTTACAGAGAGTCAGCATATTGCCC